CCCCCTCCAAAAAAATTAACGACCATATGTTAACCCTTTCACCTAAGTTTCATAAACAAATTTTAAATCTTTTTTAAGTGACAAATATAATTAAATCTCATTTTTTTCTATAAGAGTAATAAAAGAATGGTTGATAGCAAATGAAAGATATTTTTCCCCCCTAAATATGCTACTATTTAGTCTTGTAAATTTATCTTAAAAAAATAAAAATTAATTATTTTAATTAATTTTTATAATGAATGTTTATGAATAATTTTTAAAAAAAATTTTAAATACCTAGTCAACAGCCAGAATAAAATTTGCAAATAAAATATTCTCTTCTTCAACTTTTAATGGTCACTTTTCCAATGTGTCCTGGACCAATCAGAAAAGGCCAAGAATATGCACTTGTCCACAAACATGTTGTGTTGTCCCAAAAACTTGCATCTTTGCATACGTTTGTGGACTTTAGCAACAACATTCATGGGATAGGGCTTAGCAGAAATGTATGTTGAAAGCTCAAAATGTAAAACTTATGGACTTTTATTCCAGGAATTTTTTTTTCAGTGTCGTAAAGTAGTACGCAGTACGTACTGCCTAAGGTCAATCACTTAACTATTTATGGAAATACCTTAAAGAATACATTTTTATAATAATACATGAAAAATGTTTACAAACATTTCTGCGATGTTTTTAGGTGACTAGAAATCAGGGAATTTGATCTAATTGCTACTTCACAAAGTTGAATTTAACCAGATGATGTTCATTAGTTTTAAAATGATTATTTATTGTAACCGGAAATTGTTATATGTGAGGTCTCACTAGTTAGAAAACCCAAAAATGAGTTAATATTACACTTTGGTAGATCACATTATAAGCTTTAATTTGGTCTTTGAATGGCTTCCATAGGATAAATAGATCCAGAGATGTTAGCATTTAAAGTTTAAGTGTACAAGAACCAGGTTTTGAGAAAATCGGCCTCAAAGATAAACTAACCTGTACAAATAATAGAACTAGAATTACAGAATATGCGAAGAGAACACTGTTTTAGTAAGAAAATTCACTTAAAAAGTACACAATCATAAAATATAAGTATCAAGTTATTCAAAAACATTAAAATCAAAATTTTTTTTAAATTTTGCCTTTGACCTATTTTGGTGAATATCTAAAATTGATTTCACCAACGATGCGTCTCATTTCGTGGTGAGACCTCACATATATTATAAACTTACTTCCAAGCTTTCACTGTTCTCACTTGAAAGAAAGTCTATACAATTCAATTTAACGCTTTCCAATTACAATAAACAATTGCTCGAAAATATTAGTACTGGATCATTCATTCTTACAGAGATAATCATTACCTTGTAATCTATGATAAAATACGCTAACATTTATTAGGTTCTGAACGGAATTACAGTCTCTGATAAAAAGACAGTATTCCGAACCAGCATAGCATTAATTCCTTCTTTCTGTTTCACACTTTGCTAGTAATTTTAATTGTATAAAAATACATTTTTTATTTTACATTAAATTGGATGTTCCATAGAATCTAGGCTCTTCGACTAGCAGCTCTTCTTTTCGCACATTCTACTCTTTTTTTTGCTTGAGATCTCATGATTCAGAACCTTTAGGAATAAAGCCTACAACATTGATTCAATCCTTTATTCTATGATGAATCATAGGCTTTGACTTCAGCATGTAATTCTTTGATGGTTTAAACTAAGTCCTAGGCCTGTTAAATTACAACTGCCAAGATAGGATAGTACTTTGCTTTGCTGATTTGAAAAATATACCTTTGCAGAATAGGGAGAAATTGCTTGGTAGAGAGGAATAGGGTGTTGTGCTAGTATAGGTCTCCCTCCCATTAAAGACTACATTTGGGACCGGAGTTTCCATGGTCCTTAGCAGCATTAGTCTGTAATTAGAGTAATAAAGATAAAAGACATTTGTTAGTTTGAGACCATATGTCTTAAAATGGAGGTGGTCTTTAATTGGAAGTTCTTAGATAGAGGAAACCTGAAAATAGACTGTTTTGCTAGCAGTAAAAAAGGAAAACTTTGTATTAACTGATAATATTACATTATATAAACAAATACAAATATGTATAACTTTACTTTACTTTTTTTTTATTGTGAAAATTTATAGAAATATTCACTAAACTAGTAGCAGTGCACCTGAGAGCATTAACAATTTGGAAGAATTACAATAAACATAGTTGCCAAGATTTGAAATCTATGAGATTTAATGGTGTTACCTTTTCATTGGCTAGAGGCCAAGGTTGCCAAGAGCCCCGGTTGGAAGTGTGCAAGGAAACTTCTCCTTGAAGCTGACAATTTATCAGTTAAAACTTTTTTTACCTTTTTTTCCTAATTTAACATTTCACATTGTTTTCAAGGATTCTGAATGTTTTGGTAGTTGCAAAGATTGTAATGGTTTTGTCAACACAAACAGCATTCATATTAATAAGAGAGTTTATATTTGGGAGGTTCATTTTGAGAGATACTATGCTCTCATACTTTTAAAATCTTACTATTACTATGGATATATTCTATGTGATAAAAATAATATATTAACAATCAATACAAGTAGCAGCTCATCATATTTCTGTGAAACATTATTTTTCACATCAGTTCTATATCAAAATTTCCACTGAAGGTATAAAAGTGTAATCTTCTTAAACCTTTTCAATATTTATTGCTTCCTGTCTGACTACCAAAAATCTTGTTTGAAACCCCATTTGACAAACTTGCCAGTAGGCCTAAAGAACTCAATGTTTACCTTAACAGGAACTAAATAATAGCAAGCACAGAACTACCTATTACCTAGTGGTACCAATGGTAACCTCTCTATTGCAATATTGACATTCAAGTTGAATTTTTTAATGACACTGAACAAACCCAAATGAAATTTAACACTTTAAATGCTAACTAAACGAAATCAATGAGTACTAGATGGGTCTGTATGCATGGATGGATGGATGTATATGGGCTTGGGGGTAGGTATGTGTAGTGAGTATAATATTAATATTAATAACAATTAACAATAGTTACCTTTATTTTCAAACAAGAAAATTAACAAAAGTTGTCCTACAAGGCCATTAAAATGTGTCATGACCAAAACAATAACCAATAATAATAATAATAATAATAATAATAATAATAATTAGATTTGTATAGTGAATCATGCAAAAAACCCTAAAATATAATAGTATCCAATAGATATTCTTAATATTTCCCAAATCTTAATTTAAATGTTACAATATTTTTAACGCTATCATAAAACACAATGCACAATATAGTACCATTGTACCAGCACGCTCTCTATTACAGTTACCTAGTCGGGGTTAGGAAAATAATTTAAGCATTTCCACTTTATAAAATCGCAATCAATAAGGTCTTAAGCCTCCGTCTCACTGACCTCACTACGACCTTAATCTATACTGTAGTCTCTGCAGGCCAGACTATACAAAATTCATCAAATTTATCATTAATCTAGAGACAATACACTAAAACAACATAACTGTTAATTTTAAAATAGTACTGTAATTATATCAATCTTATAACGCCCACATTTATACGAAAGTATTTTTTACAGAAAGTAATATTTTCTACTTACCATACATGATAATGCTGATATGGATACAGACCGCTATATAATAATAGACTTCATCGTCATGGTAACTAAAACGCATTAAACAAGGTCACCACAGCTGTTTAGTCCAATGGAGATAACTGAAAAAGGTCAAACAATATATACAATCAAGCACAGAAATACAACAAAATAATTACCTACATGTGCATTGTGGCAGGGTGGTCACATCAGACTAGCATATTTTATTTTGAATTATACATCATAAAATTAAATAAATAAATTACACAAAGAAATATTTTATTAGTGTTAATAAATTTAAACTATTAAACATATTTTAATAAGTTGTTACAATTAATAATAAATTCAGAGTTGTTTGTTCCTTAAATGAAAATTATTTTTTTTAAATATTTTAAAAAGTATAAAAAATAATTATAACTATGTTAATTTAATTTGTAACACTTATTAATGTAAATTAAATATATGAAATCTCACAGCATGACTTAAAAAATTATAATTCTACAAGCAATTTTGCTTTCAAACATCACAAATATTCTTTTATTTATATAAACAAGTTAAACAACATTATAAACTAAACATTATGAAACAAAAAACAACAAAAAATCTAAAACATAATAATTATATAATTATATTGCAGTGCAATACAAAATTTTAAAAAAAAATCAAAAGTAAGTATTTGTTCCCACAATCACCTCTTTTTTTTATATATTTAAGGCAAAAAACAAAGGAAATACTTCAGAAATTCAACCACCTTTATACAATGAGTATCCATGGATGTCTTCCTGGGCATATATGTTTAGGGACATTTTTGTAAGAATAAACAATGGGAACAGGGAGGTAGATTGATTTGGCGTAAACCAATAATATTCTACCAGAAGTGAGATTAACTTTCTTCTTCAGTTAAAAAAAATACATAATGTATTTACTATTAAGTTTAGCATAAAAATTCCTCCCATCCCCTCCCCCATCCCTTTGGTATAAACAATTGCCATGTTTATTTTTATATGTACAGGATTAGGTTAAACAAACAAAACAATGCCAGTTATTAGATAGTTGTACACTTGAAATGCTAAGAATTTCATAATGCATGGCCTCATCATTTCTATGTTCCCATCTTCACTGCCAGCAAGCCTCGATTAAGGGATGGCCTTCGATTTCAAATACACAAGTTTCTATGTACAATCATCAACCATTTTTTTTTTATGTTGAAAAGCATTTAATTTTCAGACAATAATGTAGGCCTAAATATAAAAATTAAAACTACACTTAAGGATCTAAAAATATAAAATAATTACACTATACACAGAAATACAACAAAGAATTTAACTAAGTATCATTATATTTATATAATAAATAGAATAATGATTTCCCATCCATACAATCAAAAGTTGTCCTTAAACACAATGCTTAATTAGTTGGCTCAATCTAAATACTGATATAAATATATCAACATGTATAAAGTGATAATGAAGAGTACCGTATTCAACATTGTAATAGTCCTAATTTATACAATATTCTAAGATGGTCCCTGCAAGTCAGGCAACAAGCAGCACTGGAGCACTGATCATGCAAAAATGCAAAGGTACTTAACAAGTGCAATGAGAAAGACCAATATGATTCCATACACCAGCTTGACAATTCGACTTATAAATTTGTCACTAACATGTAATCTATACCAAGTGCTTGTAGTAATAGATTACAGTACTTTCACGTTTCCATAACAATACCAACATTGGTGTAAGAGTAAAGTGGTCTATGATTTTTACTGGCATCTCAAAAAATTTGGTTTTATTTCCGATACAATATTAATGAGTGACCAATTACTTATGAACGATTATTTACTTTTCAATCCATAAATGATTAGGTAAGATACAATTATGTTGTTATAAATTGTTTTGCAAGCTTGCCGCCCACCGAAAATGTTTTTTGGTTTTTTTTCGGATAGTTTACGCTCCTGCCACTGTGAAAAATTTTCAGAAAAAAATAAAATCTGGCTCCATATCTCATGATTAAAAATATTAATATTTCCTCAGAACTAAGAAAATATAAAACACTTATCAATAAGATTACTGAACTGAAGGGCAAACTAAATTAATTACTGAGTATGCCTTCGTAAATAAATTGTTATTTTCTCCATTCCTAGATGCTAATAGCAGAACCCATTTTGCAAAATAATATCCTCCTCCTCCTACCTAAAAATCTTTCAGTCTGCTAAATAAAATCTGGTTTGTAGATGATATTGATAGATGTTTTTTCCATATATTAATAAACCAATAAGGACAGACTTCAGACTTATAATTTTGTATGTTCACGCCTACAACATCATCTTCAGAGTGACGACTATCATTACACAAAAGGCTCACCAATAGTTGTCTGTCATATAACGATTAAGGTCGTATACGTGACTCAGGATATGGGCACATTCCTCCCCCAATCTCGGTTTAATGTTTATGGATGGATAGAGATATTAAGATCAATATACATTATTTTACATATCATTTATTAAAAACACACATATTAGGTGGATGGATGGGTGGGTGGGTGGATGGATGGATGGATGGGTAGGTGGACGGAAGGGTAGGTGGACGGATGGGTAGGTGGAAGGATGGATGAACCGAGTGATGGATAGATGGATTGATAGGTGGATGAATGAATAGATGGATGGACATAGATAGTAAGATTAAAATACAATACTTATGACTATTATATGTCACATTACAAATTCAATAAGTAACATATTCTCAAACTAGAAAAAAGAAATTCATTATCTAGGAAAGCAGATTGTTTTAATCATATTCCTGTGCATACTGTTGTTGAATGGACCGAATAAAGCTAGCGACTGGAAATGAATCGGGAAAGTATCTTGAATGGGAATATCTAGGGAAAGCAATACCTAGGGAAACGGAAAGATTATCTATAAGAGGAGAGAATATTTTGGGAATGGGACATAGAATACCTATAAAGGATAGTAACACCAAATTACCACGGTATCATAATTACAAAAGTAACAATAACAAGCACACCTTACCTGACTAGATTTATAAATATGCCAATTTGTTCCTTCATTTAAAAAAATATTAATCAGCAGAAATTTTATAACAAATATTTGCACGCTGCCTGTTTCAAAGGGGAGAGAAGGAAAGAGATTGATGCTAGCCATAAGGAGTTATAATATAACATTTTATCTGCATAACCGTAAGAGAATTATGCATACTCTTTGAATGCTGACAACTCCATTATATGTCAACGTGTCTGAAGGAGTTGATTGCAAGGCTAACACAATGCAGACTTCTTTTGCATTTTTTATCAAACAATTAGATTCGTAAACATGGATATCATCGATTACAATTCTACTCATCTCCTAGGTTTTTTATAGGCACACAAATATATCTGCAGGGATTTATCAGGTTTTAATTAGAAGATAAAACTAAATAAAATTAAACACTGTAGGTAAGCGTATAAAAATAAAGATGTTACAAGAACTCATCCTAAGGACCGATAAAGAATCAAAGAGAGGAAATTTAATGTCAATTTTCTCCCATATTGAAACCATACAGTTTAATTTTGTTATTCAATATCTGTAGGTTCTTTTCCTAGTAAGACTATTAATTCCATAACTACTACATACACACCATAATTCAAACAGCCAAATATCCATAAATGTATTACTGACTTTGCATGACATTTATCTTATTACACTAATACACTATGTAGCACCTACCTGTAATTTTAGACAAACAACCAATCGTCACATTATCTGAATTCAATATGGAATTATCGATATGCAAGCAAGTCCAAACCATTGTTTTAATGTCCAAAACTTTCAAACACCATTACAGTATTATTACGAATTTAAATCACTGAATAAGCAATCACTCACCTATATCTACCCTGGATTAAGGAGAATTATTACTTACAAATAATATTCGTAAATACAAAGTCGTTCCTGTCAAATGAAGTCGATGACCGATAGTAATCAGATAAAACTTGTTCAAGGTGAAATTGAAATAATTTCAATAATCCTTACTCAGTTGCACCATCTTATAAAAGATGATCAATAACTATACTAAATAATAATAATAATAATAACAATAATAATAATAATAATAATAACAATAATAATAATAATAATAATAATAATAATAATGTGTTATTATTGCACATAGTACAGCTACAAGGATGTGTTCCACAGGGACCAATTACTTGTAGTTATCTGTGAGCTCTTAGTTTCTTTCTTATTTCACCATGGCTTATATTTGAAACATTTTTGGGTCCACTGACCCCAGAGCCTCACTGTTGTTCTTGTTACCAAAACTTTAAAAGCATCCAGTGTACATGCAGGAAATTTTGTACACATAAACTAGAGGTGATTTTCAACAAATGTTCATCGCCCTTTTATTAAACTGGACCCCAGGGTTCCCCCTACACCTACAAAACAAAACAGAGGTTTACAACAAATTGTTTAAATTCCAGTTTATAGTGTATACAACCTGACCAAAAAAAATGTGATCTCCAAAATAAAGAATTTATGTTATATGTAAAATACTTGTATTCTTGGTAATAACTGAAATTCATTTTGGAATTATATTCGACACCATTCCGTTGAAATTCATAAAGATAACATACAATAAATTAAACTGAGTAAAATAAAACTAATATGAAGTTGAATCTTAATTTTTAATTTCAAATTCATTAAAATAAACATATATTCACTTCCTTCTTTAAAATAAAATACTATAACAACAGCAAAATATATTGTTTTCATATTTAAGTAAATACAAAGAGTAGAGATTAAAACAAAAGGAAGAAACATAAGACAAACCAGGACAAAAACAAAAAGCGAAGCATAGCAAGTCCAGAACGATGAGCCAAGACAGATGGCAGAATGAAATGGATGGGGGGAGGGGGATTGGACAGAAATATCTAATAACCAATAATTACGTGTCTTTAATGGAGGAGACAAAGATAACTAAATTAACTCTAAGAAAACAAGGATAATTATATAGGAGAATTTACATTGATGAATTTAGCACACAATCATGTTCAAGTTCATTCTAAAAAAATTCATTCACATAAAACCTATGAATTTATAAGGTGACTAAAATTACAATAAGATACAAAT